TATAAAATTCCAGAGAGTGGAAACACTTAAAACATAAATAAAAGGGCTGGATTATGTGGGCTCTTTGGAAACTGTTCAGCACAGCAATAGAATTTTATTTTCAGAGCTTCAGGATTGAACTCCACCCAAGCTCCCGGCTCCTAAGAAAGCTGGCGGGAGAGGCCCTGCCAAGTCTCTCCGTAAGGGCAGTAAAGGAGGACTCCTCCATGTTCCAGGTTTCCTTTCAAAGGTGGCCTTTACTGCCTTGGCCAAGGAACATCCCAGAGCCAGGTGCCTGGTCGGGTCAGCCTGGTAGCAGGGGACAGGAAAGGGACCATGTACCCTGGCTTGATGCTATCCCTTTGCCCCTAAAGCAAATGTACCAGGCTGGGCACAGTGCTGGCAGCGGGGCTGCTGAGTTAAAAGGACCGCTACCTCCCAGGCTTGATGACCATCCCTGGATGCTCAGAGAAGCTGGACTTTATCCCTATGCAGCCGCACATGGGCAGGAAGGGCGGAGGGTGTTGTTATAGCTGGGAGGGAAGTTAAACCCTGGCAAATAGTAACAACAAGGTCTCTTTGTTTCTGCCATTGACCATTCAGAAGCTAAAGGAAAAGACAAAATGGGGGAAAGGGTTTTGAAGGGTACACTTGAGTGCCACTTGGGGTCCCAGTGCAGAAGTCTTGGCATGCCATGTGGTCCATATCTGTGCTCCAGCTCCCCAGGGGCACCTTTGCTCTGGCCACCCTGTCGTGCCAGGGCATCTGCCTCAGGCTTGGTGTTGGCTGAAAGTAGACAGCATTCCTGCCTAGCAAGTACAGGTCCATAGGGAGGAAGGTGGGGTCCCCAACGTCCAGGCCTGGGCTTTCCCAGCTTACTTGAAGGCACCCTCTCTGGGAACTAGGGGTGATACACCTTAGAAAAATGACAAGTTGCTTGCCTCCCCACTGCCACCTCCCCACCTGTCGCTTTCCACCACCAGGGAACAGAGCAGAGGGGAGTGACCAGCACTTGTGACACAACTCAGAGAAGCTTTATAACCGCTAAAATCAGTACCTTCTCCCTGCCCTCTCCTGGACCAGCAGCCTGAGTTTTCTGCCTACATTTCTGAGAAGGGAAGAACAGTGCCTTCTAAGCTGTGCAAAGGAGTTTGGGCTTCAAGAGGACAATGGAGAGACCCTGAGGGGTTCAGAGCCAGAGTGGGGAGGCCAGCCTGGGGAAGAGGGTGGGGCAAGAGCTGAGATCCAAGGCCAGAGCCTGAACAGGATAAGACAGCTGCTGCCATGTCCGGTGGGGTCAGAGGGCCAGCCTGACCCAGGTTGTGGCAGCAACAGCCTCTTAGGCTGTTTCATTGGTGAAAGCGGCAAGGCCTGGCTGCTGCATGGAAATAAAGAAAAGGGACAGAGCCGATAAGGATGACTCACGGGTCTCTGGTTGGGCAACCCGGTGGACCAGATGCTGCTGCGCCGTGAAGGAGGAGGAGGTAGCTTTGGGGAATGAGATAATGAGTTCCGAGATTCAAGGGTTGGGCAACCAGAGTGAGAAAAGCTGAGGGATGCCGGACTACGCTTCTCTGTGTTGACTGAGAAAGAGGCCTCACACGCGGTCAGAAGCGCACAGGCGTGGAACGTTGTCCCAGAGCAAATACTGGCTCCTGGAAGAGGGAGGTACCGTGTGGCTGGGTTCACGTGGGCACTGCACCTCCTGGCCATGATCTGTAAGGTGCAGGTGTAGCTCGCAGAGCTGAGTGGGGTCTACGGTAGGCGCTCCATTAGCTAGGGTGCCAGGAACACACTCCTGCACCCTGGTTTTCTTCTGTCACGGCTGAAACACACACCTTTCCCTAAGGATGTTGCTATGCATGAAGAACAAGGGGCCCTTCCTTTTGCTTTTTGGAGTTTTCCTTGTTCCAGAATCAGCCTTGGCCTTAGCTGATAACACCAAGCTGGTCGCTGTGGGGAGCAGAGAAGACATCAGGCATAGAGAGAATCCAAAGACAGTCTTCTAATTCTTTACAGAGAAGGGCTGGGGAATAGCGTCTGTGGGAGTGTGAAGGACTCGGGCGCGACATGAGGACAGCTTTGTCAGGCAGTGGGTTGGAAGACAAGCGGTATGACTGCATCCCAGGAGGATGAAGTAACAGCCTCATGGGGACAGTTCTGTGGGCCTCGGGCCAGGCGCCTTCCTTGGTTGGGCTTCATTTTCTGATCTGTAAGGTGGGCGAACAGAAGCGTCACCAAGGAGTGGGGAGGTGAGAGGTGCCGGAGTAGATGAGTTGTTATTGCAGGGCCTGGCTGGCACACAGTCAGCCCGCAGCCAAGGACAGTGGGAGCCATTGTTATTCATCACTGGCAGCTCCCATGCTAGCAGGCATTCCTCAACATAAAAAGGCCTCTTAGAAGCAAAAGGTACCAGATGCAAGCGATCAATTAGTATTATTAAGAACGGGCTCAGAATTATTTTTGCCACAGCATTAAGCAAAAGCCCCTTTGGGTGGCAATGACTAGGAAAATGGGAACGATTATTAATGGAGCTGCCAGCTCCTGTTACCCGATCCATTGACATACTATTTCTCCCTGGGAATCCTCTGACAAGTCAGCTGTTATTTCCTAGTCCCCAGTCATGAGCGCTGTAAATTTGAGCCACATGTCTCCAGTGTTGATTCTGTAGCTCAGTAATGAGGAGAGGAGAGGCGGACCCGGCTGCTGAGCTGTTCTGGGCTGGGGATGCAGGCAGGGGCGACTTCGTCCTCTACTGTATCAGTTTCAGTGCTCACAGCCAGCTCCTCCTAATGCGCTTGGTTAGTTAGCTGTTGGGGGGAGGGACTGGACCCCTGGGTGGGAGAGATGGCTGCAGGGCAGACCCCAGCACAGCCTCTCCCTCCTGCCACAGATACAGAGCCTTGAGGTAGTGCTTTGAAGTGATGGTGTGATGACATGATGGGAGGGCTCATTGCCATCTGCTGGGGTTAGGGAAGGGAGGGTGGCAGTGGGAACTGCAGAGGTACAGGTTAGGGGTCAGGCACATGTCCATCACCAAAGCTAGAGAATGGGCCAGGACCACAGCTAGGTGGTTTGCCCCAGGAAAGGGACCAGGCTTAGTACTGGGTGTCCTTGGGTGAGACAGACTGGCATTAATATAGCTATCATGTCACGTGGACAAGCCCCCAGGTGGGGACAGCCAGGGAAGAACGCTAATGGTGATGTGTGCGTCGTCCTCTATGCTCCCTCAGAGGCAGGTGTATGCATGCTTGCACCTCTCTGAACCATGTTTGAATGCCAGCCCTGCCACTTACCTGAGCCACCTATTCAAACTCTCCCAACCCACTGCGGAAGAGGAAGCCCCATTCTCATGGAGTTGTTGAGTAAAAATGCAACCGTGTACATCAAGTCTACATTCCCAGCACTAATATACAATAACAGCCAGCAGTCCTAGGCCAATTGAACCCCACACCGATCCAAGCATTGACACCCCCTAACTTACCAGCCAGCAATAACTCAGTGAATCCTCACCACACTCCACAAACCAGGTGCCTGTATCTAGTCTGGTCAACAGGCCATGAACCAACATAGAGAGGCCGAGTCATCTGCCCAAGCGCCCATTGTTCTTAGTCGAGGAGCCAGACTTATGTGCCTTGACATTGCACTTGAGGCTCTGTGTTTGCATTGGGCTGCACTACCCACCCCTGAAGTCACCCCTGATTCATTGTCAAATGGGCTCAGGATACAGAATCCCAGCCTGAGTTGGCCCCATCCCAGGGACTCTCCAGTTAGCTCAAGGGACTTTAAGATAATTTCTTTCTCCTACCAAAAAAAGTGACTGATGAAATTTCTGTGAAAATTTTTTGGAAAGTCAGCACACCAAGGTCTGGAGAGTAGAGCAGTTTGGACCGAGGCAGGGCAGCTAACCCTGAAGTTGAGGTCCCTGTTGTGGTCTCTGCTTGCCCCTAAAACTCTTGTGGCTACAGGCGGTTAGGAACTAGTGTATAATTGTAAGCCCTTCTGGACCCTGCGCAGTGCCTTAGCAGCTAAAGACATCAACTTGAACGTAATGGGATTCCATATGAGCACCAGTTCTAATCCCAGCAGCCCCGCTTCCCATCCGGCCCCCTGCTTGTGGCCTGGGAAAGCAGTGGAGGACGGCCCAAAGCCTTGGGTTTGTGAACCTGTGTGGAAGACCTGGAGGAAGTTCCTGGCTCCTGGCTTTGGATCGGTGCAGCTCTGACCATTGCGGTCACTTGAGGACTGACTCATTGGATGGACTATCTTCCTCTCTGTTTCTCCTCCTCTCTCTCTGTATGTCTGACTTTGCATTTAAAGATAAAGAAATCTTTTTTAAAAATTGTAAGCCCTTCTGAACTTGTTTTGCTGGTGCTTTCTAAGGATGAGCACAGTGAGTTGGGAAACACACAGGCTGTCGCCCCCTGGGATTGATTCTGACGGTCCCGCCCCACAGCCGCCGACATGCTAATGAGAAACACTAATTGGACTTGGCCAGTGGCTGGGACAGCTCCCTTGGAGTGAAAAAGGCTATGTCCCTCTCCTGGGTGGCTCCCAGCCTCTCCTGGATTTGAGGAGGAGCAGTGGAGGCGTAGAGAACTAGGGAGACTGTATGGACAGCACTGCCCCTCTGCGTGGGCAGGATGGCACCTGCAGCTGACTCAGCCATTCCAGAGCCATGGGAACACAGTCCATTTTCTGTCATTCCCACACCCGCACCTCAAATTCAGAGTCGGGTGCTCTCTGAACACCCAAATGAATGAACAAATTTCTCTCTGATCTAGGCCAGTCAGCTCATGAAAGGATGGTCACCACTTGCTTGAACCCTAAAACACAGCTCCTAAAAGTCAGAGGTCACCTCTCCTTCTGGCCACTATCACACTGTCCCTCAAGAAGACTTGTCAAACATCCTGGAGGTTAGAGAGATTGGCCAGCTGACATCTGCTGTCAGTGAAGGTGGAGCAGGTCCACAGGTCCTGCCCTCCCCGCCAAGTCTCACCTCTCTGTCTTGCTTCCCACAGGTGTGCTGTCACTCCCTGCCTACTTCAGTCCCTACAATGGTGGATCGTTGGGCCACGACGAGCGAGCTGATACCTACGCTCAGCTGGAGCTCCGCACCCTGGAACAGTCTCTCCTGGCCACCTGTGTGGGCAGCATCTCAGAGCTGAGTAAGTGTGCCTTCTGTAGCCAGCAGGTGGTGGGGCAAGGCTGGGAAGAGCTCTGGGTCTGCATTCCAGCCTCCCCACAGCCTTTCTCCTCCTCTTCTTCCTCCACAATCCCTACCTTCCCTGAACACTAGGTCCTCCCAAGCCAGAGATGCCAGACCGGTGGCCCTCAATCTAGGTTTCTGATTTCTCTTAAAAATGCAGATGTGGGCCAGTACTATGGCACAGGGAGTAAAGCTACTACTTGTAACAGTGGCATCCCAAATGGGTGCTGGTTCGATTCCTGGCTGCTTCACTTACAATTCCAGCTCCCTGCTACTGCACCTGGGAAAGCAGTAGAAGATGGCCCAGTTTCTTGGACTCCTGTACCCACGTGGGAAAACCTTGGCTGAAACCCTTGGTTGCGGCTTTGACCTGGCCCAGTCCTGGCTGTTGCAGCCATTTGGGAAGTGAACCAGTAGATGGAAAATTTTCTTTCTTCCTCTAACTCTGCCTTTCAGATAAATAAATCTTATCCCCTACAATTCAGATGATGCCCCATCCTACACAGCAGCCATCATTAGGAGCTAAGTGGCAGTTTAGTGGGTTAAGACATGGCTAGCTTATAGCTGGCCTCTTTCTTTTCTTCTTTTCTTCTTTTTTTAACACTCATTTATTTTGAAAGTTGGGGAGGTAGGGAGGAGGAGGGAGAGGCAGAGATAGAGAGATTTTCCACCCACTGGTGCATTCCCCAGATGCCCACAACAACCAGCACTGGGCCAGCTGAAAGCCAGGAGCCGGGAACTTCTTTCAGGCCTCCCCATGGATCGCAGGGGCCCAGTACTAGGGCCATCTTCTGCTGCGTTCTCGGGCCAGCAGCAGGGAGCTGGACTGGAAGTGGAGCAGCTGGCAGTCAAGTTAGCAGCTATACAGGATGCTGATGTCACAGGCAGCAGCTTTAGCCACTGAGCCACAGCTCCAGCCCAGCCTGTTGTAAATTCTCTCACCCACATACCCCTGAAACCTTAACACAGCAGAAGGAAGGAAGATGATAGCAGGGCACCCCAGCAGCATGGAGGGTCCCATGGCTCCTGGCCCCAGTTACTTTAGAAACCAAACCCTCACGCTGCCCTTTGATCTCACCCCTGAGACCACTATGTGCAGGGCCCAGCCTCCTCTGCCTCCAGGGTCTTTGGGTTTTCTGACTCCTGAGCAATAAATGACAGAGGTCCCTGCTTCTCCAGGATGTAGGGACCTCCTGCCTTCCTGTCCTCCTCCCTTTTTGCACCTTCCCAGACCAGGAAACAAAGGTGCTGAGTTCAAGGTCACACAGCCCCCATGAGGCTGGGAGACAAAGCGGTTTGTAGCTCTCAGTTTCCTGCTGCCATTGCAGCAGGCAGAGTGATGTGTGTGCGCGTATGGTGTGTGTTTGTGTGTGCGTGCGCACGCACGTGCGGTGTGGGAAGGAGGTGGGGACATGTGGCTGCTCTGAATTCCTGGCCCTGCAGGGGATCAGCAAAAGCAGGTACCTGTGCACGCAGCTTGATCTCAGCTAACAAGGGACTGTCTGGGGGCCACATGCAGCCAGTGCCAGTCCTCGGCAAGCAGTGAGAGCAGCCCTCATCCTGCTCCGGAACACCCTAGCTTTATTTGGGTTCTGAGCATTAACTGAGCACCTACTGCGTGCTAGGCACTGTGTGAATCCTGCCTCTGCTTTATATCAGGTACTCATTCCTCAGAACAACTCATCCAGGTACCGGCTGGTGAGGGAAGTGAGGCTTAGAGAAGAAAAGAGATCTTTTTGCCAAGTATCTTGGTCAGTGAGGATCAGGGTTAGGGCCTGACTCTGGGTGTGTCTGTCTTCAGACCCATTCTCATCATTATGTAGGACTGAGAGCTTCTTCTCCAGGCCCAGCAGCCTAGCTTCCCATCAGCGTCTCTGGGGAGCCAGTGTCAAGAGCAGGGCCTGATGCTTTGCTTTTGCTTTGTAATCCACACCAGGCCCGGAGGGAGCATTCAGAAACTTCCAGACCCCATTCTGCTCTGCTGGAGGCTCCCCGCTATTGGCTCTGCCCTCTGAGACGGTCTGAGTTCTATTCTACCCCTTTCACCTTGGCGACTGCCAGGCCCGGGCTGTGAAAAACAGAAATCATTCCCCTGCATTCTGCTCACTCCCATGGCTGGCTTCCCAGCCATGATCAGCAAAACCCCAACTTCTCTCCATGACCCCAGACCCAGTATAGGATCTGGATTCACTGCTTGTACCTCTTCTCCTGTAGACTGTACTCCTGGCCAAGTGCCCACCCCAGGGCTTTTGTACTGGCTGCTCTCCGTGCCTGAGATATTTTCCCCTGATACCCAACTACATGGGTCACTCTCAGCCTCCACTCAAATGGCACTTTCTCCACCAGGATACCGGGACGCCCACTGTTTTCTTCTTTTTATTGCAGCTTTTATTTCTACAAAGCACTGTTCCCTCCCCTGACATTGACTCGCTATGCAGGGTCTTGAAAATGTTCGTGGAAAACACAATTTATGGCTTTCAAAAAATTATTTTTGCATGCAAATATCTTTCAGTTCTGGGCCTGGCATGGTAGCCTAGCGGCTAAAGCCTTTGCCTTGCACATACTGAAATCCTGTATCGGCGCAGGTTCTAATCCCGGCAGCCCCGCTTCCCATCCAGATCCATGCTTGTGGCCTGGGAAAGCAGTCAAGGAAGGCCCAGAGACCCAAAAGAGACTCAGGGCTCCTGGCTTCAAATTGGCTTAGCTCTGGCCATTGTGGCCGCTTGGGGAGTGAATCAAAGGACAGAACATCTTCCTCTCTGTCTTTCCTCCTCTCTGCATATCTGACTTTCCTATAAAAACATTAAATAAAGCAAATGTCTTTCAGTTCCATTTCTTCCATGAACTTTTTGGAGCACTCTGTTGACTTGTGCATTGTCTTTCCCTCTTACCTCTGCCTCACACAGACCCTTCTCTCTGTGGTCTGCTGCTTTCTTTCCAATGTTGAAAACCATCCCTTAAAAAAAATTTAATTTTAAAATAAAAAAAAAAACTGTCCCTAGCAAGCATGACGGTACCTTGTGTTTGGAGGAGGAGGAAAGAGAGAGAGAGAGAGTGTGTGTGGTGTGTATAGACATGTGTGTATTATGCACACACACCCATGTGTATATGCATACCTATGTGTATGTATGCACACATGGGCCACCGAGTCCTGACCCACCCAGCGGGTTCCGTCCTGGCCCCATCCCTCTCAGGACACAGAGAAACAGCCTCTCTGTAGTATCTCCCCTGAGACAACAGAACAGGCTGGGTCTGTCCCTCCCTCTGAAACTGGGGTTTCTGCGAGGAGGTTGTGGAGGAGGGAGGAGTCCAAGGCGGAGGCACGATTGCGTTTAAAAGGCCTTAATGAGGCTACTGATACTTGGCGCTGGGCTCCTGGGCCCTCAGAGTTTCCCTGGGTTTTACATGGGTCCCCTCCCTGCACCTCCCCGAGACCAGCCTGCTGGGGTGGGGTTGGGGGTGATGGGGAGATGTCTCATTCTTATATCTGGTCCAGCTGCCCACAGAGTGTGTGCTCCTGTGCTTTGCTCTGTCCCTGGCTGGCCAGGAAGACTTCCCTTTAGGGAAGGAATAAGAAACACACAGAACAAAACACTTCTGTGAGGGCAACCAGCCACGCGCTGGAAGCCTCACTCTGCAGACAGCGTGAAGTTGCACACTCTTGCCTGTTTTTATTGGATGGCTCCTAATGAGGGTTGGAAAGGCCAGAGCGAAACCTGCAGCACCTCTAATCAGGTCTTTGATGACACCCAGGGAGTGAGGGCTTGTTTTCCCAGTGGGTGTGGCTGGGCTTCAGAGAGGCTCCCCTGAGAGCAGGATCAGGTCCATCTCGAGCACCAGGAAGTAGCCACCTGTGCTAAACTGGATGCCAGCCAATTCAGCTCCTGCTCCTTTACAGCTCAAACCTGTGAGAAAATACAATTAAAACAGTGTCCACAAAGACAAAATAAGACATATAGGCCAGGCACAATAGCATAGTGGTTAAAGCCCTTGCCTTGAACACGCCAGGATCCCATATGGGCACCAGTTCTAATCCCGGTGGCCCCACATCCCATCCATCTCCCTGCCTGCAGCCTAGGAATGTAGTCGAGGACGGGCAAAAAAGCTTTAGGACCCTGCACCCACGTGGGAGACCTGGAGGAAGCTCCTGGCTCCTGGCTTTGGATTGGCTCAGCTCCAACTGTTGTGGCTGCTTGGGGAGTGAACCATCAGACAGAAGATCTAAGATCTTCCTCTCTGTCTCTCCTCCTCTCTGTTTATCTGCCTTTCCAATAAAAATAAAATAAATCTTTAAAAAAGTACTTATTAAAAAAACAAAATAAGACATAAAATGCAAGCCCAATGTTTGAAATTATTGCTAGATAAACATAAAATTACTCTGAAACTACAGTGGAAGTTTTTTAGACATGTTTTTATTTATTTGAAAATAATAGAGGGATAAACACAGAGAAAGCTTTCCTTGGGGCTTGCACTGTGGCATAGTTGGTGAAGCTTCTGCCTATGGTGCTGGGATCCCATATAGGGGTGGGTTCCAGTCTCGGCTACTCCACTTCCAGTGCAGCCTCCTGCTGGAAAAGCAGCAGAAAATGGTCTAAGTCCTTGGGACCTGTACCTACAGGGGGAACCCAGAAGAAGCTCTGGGCTCCTGGCTTCACCCTGCTGTTGTAGCTATTTGGGGGAGTGAGCCAACAAATAGAAGCTCTCTTCTCCACCCCCCAACTCTGCCTTTCAAATAAATAAATATTTATTTTTTTGATTCCATCTGCTGGGTCATGCCCCAAATAACTTTGGCAGGACTGGTTTTCCAGGAGCCAGAAATTCCATCTATGTCTCCCATGGAGTTCAAGTACATTGGCCTTCTGCTGCTGCTTCCCAGGCACATTAACAGAGAGGTGGATCAGAAGTGGGGCAGCCAGATCTTAAACTGATACAGGATTGGCATGGCAGGTAGCAGCTTAACCCACTGCACCACAGTGCAGGCCCCAGCTATGGAAGTTCTTAAAAACTTAACTCAGTTTCTGAAATTAACTGGATGTGAACCTATAAGAATGTGTGGGGCTGCTCCAGTTCCCAGACCATATTTCTCGGTAGCCTTGGTGCCAAGGGTCAAGAACATGCACTTGGGATCATGGTGAAGGTCTGGCTGATTCTCTTACTAGCTGGCCTACATTACAGATCTTTTAGCCCTGTGAGCCGGCTGCCTCCTTGGTGAACATGGAAATACCAACCTCCCAGAGCAGTTGTAAAGATTAGAGGCAATCTCTGTCTATTATGTCTGATGCGAAGGTGAGAAAGTAGGAAGCAAGGGAGGGCTGGCCCCCTAGGAGCAGCTGCTATCTTGGGCTATGGATGGGGTGCCAAGCAATCCAGTTCAGAGAGCAGAGTCGCCTGCAGGCATCTGTCTTGTTGATCTTTGAGAGGAGCTCGCCTTGGCCGGACAGGGAGGGACCAGGGCCCTTCATCTCCAGCTGCCTTTGCAGGTTCCCTATCCCTCTGGATTTCTGGCTTCCCTTGTAGGAAACTCAGGCATTCCTTTCTGGGCATTCTTGCCTGCACTCTGGCTGGAAAAGTGCTGCCAAGGGCTTGTCCGCCAGTGACAATAAAATGAGAATAAACCATATGAATGGTAATGATTTCTGCCTGGTTGCGCGCCTTTGAAATGACGTTTCGGCAAAACTTCACAGTTGATGCTATCTGTGGCCTGTTTGCCTTCTCCTCCTCTACCTCCTCTTGGGCTTGGGATCTTGCCAAAATCTGTGACATTCAGACCTGGAGAAGCAGGAGCCATGTGTATCAGCTTACTGTCGCCGACTTAGCTGTCCTGCCAGTTGCTGGGAGAGAGATGGGCCTGCGGCTGCTGGCAATACCAGTTTCTGCCACCACCTGGGAACTTGAGGACAGGACTAGGGTCCAGCCATGAAGTTCACCCAGAGCACACTGGCGACTGATGTACAAGCACAAAGATGATGAACAGAGTCAGGACTTTGGGGGGAAGTGAGGGCCCTGGGCATGTGTTGGGGATGGGGATGAGAGATAAGGAACAGTTTGCGGAGATCTCAGATCTCCAGCCCAGGGGTGTCATTTGTCCCTGCATGGAGGCTGTCACAGTGGTTGTCACTGGAGCATTGGACAGCTAATGAATTCTGCTCCAAGCTCACCAGGAGTGGCACAACTATTTGAAAAGGAAGCAAATGCATAGGCGAATCTTTTTTTCTTTAAAGATTTATTTATTTTTGGGCCCGACGCGGTGGCTCAGTGGTTAAGGTCCTCGCCTTGCACGCCCGGGATCCCATATGGGCGCCGGTTCTATCCTCGAAGCCCCACTTCCCTTCCAGCTCCCTGCCTGTGGCCCGGGAAAGCAGTCGAGGACGGCCCAAAGCTTTGGGACCCTGTACCCACATGGGAGACCCAGAAGAGGCTCCTGGCTTCGGATCGGCATAGTATCGGCCGTTGTGCTCACTGGGGGAGTGAATCATCGGACGGAAGATCTTCCTCTCTGTCTCTCCTCTCTGTATATCCGCCTTTCTAATAAAAAATAAAATAAATCTTAAAAAAAAAGATTTATTCATTTTTATTGGGAAGGCAGATTTACAGAAAGGAAGAGAGAGAAATATATTCCATCCTCTGGTTCACTCCTTAAGAGACTGCAGGGACTGGAGCTGAGCCAATCTGAAGCCAGGAGCCAGGATCTTTTTCCCGGTCTCCCATGTGGTGCAGGGTCCTAAGGCTTTGGGCCATCCTCAACTGTTTTCCCAGGCCACAAACAGGGAGTTGGACAGGAAGTAGAGCTGCCAGGAAATGAATTGATGCCCATGTAGGATCCCAGTGCATGGAAGGTGAGGACTTCAGCTACTAAGCCATTGTGACAGTCCCAGACATTCCTTTTTTAAAAAATATTTTTTTAATATATTTATTTTATTTTTATTGGAAAGGCAGATATACAGAGAGGAGAGACAGAGAGGAAGATCTTCCGTCCGATGATTCACTCCCCAGGCAGCCGCAACGGCTGGAGCTGAGCCAATCTGAAGCCAGGAGCCTCTTCTGGGTCTCCCATGTGGGTGCAGGGTCCCAAAGCTTTGGGATTTGCTTTGGGTTGTCCTCGATTGCTTTCCCAGGCCATAGGCAGGGAGCTGGAAGGGAAGCGGGGCTTCCAGGATTAGAACTGGCGCCCATATGGGATCCTGGCATGCAAGGCGAGGACCTTAACCACTGTGCCATCGCGCCGGGCCCTTTTTTTTTTAATATTTAATAAAGATACGCATTTTAAAGATTTATCTTTTATTGGAAAGTCAGATATACAGGGATCTTCTGTCCAATGAATCACTCCCCAAGCGTCCAGAGCGTCCAGAGCTAAGCTGATCCACTGCTTTCCCAGGCCACAAACAGGATGAGAAGTGGAGTAACTGGGACACAAACTAGCATCCATGTAGGATGCTACACTTGGAGGCAGAGAGATTAGCCAGTTGAACCAGCACACCAACCCTATAGGCCACTTGTTGATTGCTTCTCCCACTGTTTGCCAAGCGCCTGCTAGGCAGCTGGCCCAGACAGAGCTCCGAGCTCACGGCAGTGGCCTAGCTTCTCCGGAGCTGCATCCCGCAGGCAGGATGAAGTCACTGAGTTGCTTTTGTCCTATGTTCCACAACATTTCACTGGCCAAATTGCAGGTTGTTCGATTGGTTCTGTCAGGCTGGGACGAGGATGCCCCTTCATGCCTGCTCCACCCCCCACGGAGGCCCCTGCATTCTCAGACCCATGGGGGCTGCAGAGGCGCCTACAGGTGCCTGGGTCTGCCACAGCCCATCCTGTCACAGCATTGTGACCGCACACAATGATGGGATGCTTCCTGCCCAGAGTTGGTTGAAAAGACCCGACTTGGGGACAGAAATGCAACGCAGGAAATGAGGCCCCGAGGACCCCCACAGACATGCCACAGCCAGGGTCATGGTAAAGTTCATCAACTGTGGAATCCCACAGACCCGTATCTAAATCCAGACTGTACTGATGAACAGCCAGCCTCCTGAGCTGAGCTAGTGAATGTACCATATAGGAGAATATGTGGTGTCTAGAGAAGCTTGCATTTCTGCATCTACAAAACAGAGAGAACCGAGCCTCCCATTGCTTCCTTGGGGAACGGGCATTCTTGACACATAGTAAGTGTCCAGTGGATGGAGAGGCTGTGCTGGTTCCTGGGACCACACCCTAAAGAGGGCCTTGCCTGAGACAGCCCGCTTGCTCCAGAGCCTGGCACTGTTAGAGGCTGGGAGAGGAAGCTCCAGCAGGTTCCCTGGGGGGCGGAGAGAGCTGAGATGTTGAAAAAGAAACCACATTAGCCAGAGCCCAGCCCTCCTCCATGTGGCTGTCTGGGCGGGACTGGACTGAAAGGGAAACTAAGGTGCTGTTATGCAGATGTGACAGGTGACTGCTACTTCCCCCCACATCCACCCACTGCCACCACCCTCTGGGGTAAACAGTAATTACCCCCAGGTTGCTCTCATTCCTGCTCTCGGGCGGTGGCCTGGACTCAGATATGTCTGTTCTCTCTCTCTCTGCCCTCACAGGTGACCTCGTGTCCCGCGCCATGCACCACATGCAAGGGCGCCATCCTCTGTGTCCTGGCACCAGCCCTGCCCGCCAGGCCCGCCAGCCGCCGCAACCCATCACCTGGTCCCCCGACGCCCTCCACACACTCTACTACTTCCTACGGTGTCCACAGATGGAGTCCATGGAGAACCCCAACCTGGACCCCCCGAGAATGACACTGAACAATGAACGGTAGGGAGCTCCCAGGGCTATGTGCCTGCGGGGAAGAGGGGTGAGCTTTCACAAGTGCAGCAACTGACTGATAGATGGGACCAACTGAATAGGTGACCTGGAGCTGGCTCACATGGCCTCGGAGGTGGTCACTGGGGTCCAGCGGGCCCAAACAGCGCACAAGTTGTTGTGGATTGGATGGGGGCTTCAGTCTCTGTGTGTGGCTGGGGGCTCCCTGGATTTGGTGACCTCTTTATAAAGTGAGATGAGGGGATCCCCCACCAGACGGTGAGGAGTGAGAGCGCCAAGCACAGCGGCTGGCCCTCTGCCCTCTCTTGATGACCATGATGTCACTGTTGGCATCATTACTGCTGGAGGCCTTAGGCATAGTTTGCCCCATCTGCTCATTTTACAGAGAAGCACAGTGTGATTCTGGCAGTTCCTTGACTTCCAGAAGGTTTGTTTAAATGTTCCCAGAACCCCAGCCCTTGTCGTACTGGGAACAGAGGTGCTGGTTGTGTACTGCACAAGAGAACTCACTGTAGGGCACAGGTCACGGATGCATGGGAGCCTTGTCCCATTGAGGACAGGGTGCCTTTTCTGATTTGCCTGGACCTCTACATCCAAGCAGGCCAGTCCCCGCACCATCGGTGAGACACTAGCAGTCCTGTAGACACATGGCAACCATTGGAATCTGGGATGGCGGCTGCCTAGGGTCAGGTGGCCTGGGCAGGAGTGACAGCTGTGGCATTCAAGAGCCCCATGTCCTAGGTGCAAGGCCCCAAATCTCTTGAGCCTCGTTTCCTTGTGTGTATGCTGGAGACAAAGTGGGGGCCTGCATGACAAGAGCCATGGTCGACTAAGCACCCACTATGTGCTAGGCACTCCACACATGGGTGCTTATTGACACACGCCATCAAGGACGAGGTGCTCCTCGTGGCTCCCTTTCTCAGACAGGCAAGTCCCAGAGCACCCCAGCAACCAGCCAAGGCCACCCAGCCAGTGTTCCCCATAACTGCCGCAGCACACCATCAGCATCCAGGGAAGCAAGGCAGCCACAGCCCTATTCATCCACAGAGCAGGGTCCCTGGAAATACCCCTGCAGGTCCCCTTTCTCTGCGAGTTGTGGGTGCAAGGCTGAGAGGGGCCTGACACTGAGCGGGAGGATGATCTGCAGGCCTTGGGCCCAACTGTTTGTACTTTGGGGAGAAAGCCTTGTGGTGTCAGGAGCTAGCTGGGGAGGTGATAGAGCCAGCTTGCTCACTGCCTGGGCAAGGTCCCAAGGGTGCTGAGCTCAGCCTGGTTCCCCAAGCACAGGTGCCCGGGATAAGAGGACCAGGAGCCTTCTATGGTCCTACTGCCCTGGGCTGGGCCATGTGGCCCTCAGGTTGTAGTGTGGTGTGGCATGGCCCAGGCCCATGGGCTGGGCAGGCCTACAGCAGGCTCTCCCTCTGCAGTCACCATAACATCTTACAGGGTCCCCTGGCCTTCTCCTTGGAGGACCCCAGGCCGATGGCCAAGCTTGCCGAGGAGGGCCCACATGTGCGTATGTTTAGCTATCTAATGATTTGGAAACCACACTCTGTGGCACAAATAAATTGGTAGCAAAGGTATTTTTCCATGAGTCATTGCAAGTGAGTATTAGACCCGTAGAAAATTGGAACCACTGCTAGGAAAAAAATACAGCAGTTTCAAAAAGCCGACACTCAAAGGACACCCTAAAAATACTTGGGCACGCAGACTGTCCTGGCGGCTTCCCAACAGCTCAGGCAGACACGGTTAGCACTGATGAGACATAGGACACCCCAGGAAAGCCCGGCCAGCCCTGCCCTGCAGACAGTGGGGCTCCCAAGGCATCTGGGGATCCCCAGTGTCCTTGGCAGAACTGGGGGAAAGCTCACCTGGTACAAAAAGGCTGCATCTTTCTTTCTCCCTGTCTTGTTCACTTGAAACCCTCTTCCTGTGTCCCAGCTCAGGACACCGGGCTCAAGCCAGCCAGAATCACATGAAACCTCTGATTTCAGTTGCAATTGTGGATGTCTGGCCCAGAGCCTTGTCTCGGGGGCTTTGCCCACCTAGGGCCCGGGAGCACAGCGTGACGGATGGGCTTGGCAGGCTGCACGGCCCGGATGTTGTTAAGTTTCTGGTGACAGTCTCTCATGCCTCACACTGCTCAGGATGGCCCAGGCTCCCTCTGTAAGGGAGCTACTGTGGGCTTGGTAGGGATCCTGTGGGAGTTCATGGTGTCAAGGGAGCCACTGTGCAGGAACGGGGAGACCACGTGCTGTGCCTCCCTCCAGTACCCGCAGGAAGCCTGCGTCTGCCTCAGGCTCCTCCCTTGTAAAATGGGGCCAAGTGACTCTGTCCAGGGGCATGAAGGGAGCTGACACCACACCCCTTCTCAAAGTCTTTCTTGCGTGTGACCAGCCCTTGCACCACCCATATGGCTACATTGGAAAAAATAGGAAAAAAAGACATATGGTTCATTTCCGAAATGGCTACAGTGGTCGAAACTGGGCCTGTCTGAAGCCAGAAGCCAGGAGTCTCCTTCAGGTGTCCCATGTGGGTTCAGGAGCCCGAACACTTGGGCCGCTGCCACCATCTCCTGCTCGCCGGCAGCTTCATCTCACAGGCCATGGGCCAGCACAAGGCAGAGCCTGAAGCCCAGGATGAGTCCCTGCTGCTGTCCCGGGGGGTGGGGGGGGGGGGAAGACCAGGGAGCCTCCTCACCTGAGATCTGGAGACCTAACCAGCAGGGTGCTGACTGCAGTCCCCCTCCCCCTCCCCGCCGGCATCCACAGAGGCTGAGGCTGGGTTAGCAGGACAGCGTCCTGGGCCTCTGCGGAACAAGGAAGAAGGCCACACAGATATGCAGGAGGGGTGGGAGGCCTGCCAGCCCACAGCTAACTGCTGGCAGAAGCGTCTTCAGGCAGAGAGGAGGTGGCTGTGCAGACAGGTGCACGGGGCTGGAATAGATGGGGAGCCAGCTCTCTGCAGAGACCTCCAAGTCATGGCCATGCCATGGGACTGGCGGTGATGACTAACCACTCGGCTGCAAGCCAGCCTGTTAGCTCTTAGCATCAGGCCCTGGACACTGGAGCTGCTCCCCCAGCCCTGCCTGGTGACACTTGTGATGGGAGGTACACTCAGAAGACTTGGGGTCTGCTGGCATCCGGGACTCTTCACTGGGAGGCTGCAGTTTGGGAAGAGGCCTAGAAACTTCTGATGCCTTAGCTAGTGAGGAGAACCCTGTCATGAGCAGGGGTGTTGGTCTCCCCAGCAGCCACTTCCTGTGGTGGCTGAGGAGTGTGGACAGCTAGCTCCCAGCAGAGCTAAGTATGGACAGTGTTCTTGGGGGGTAGGCTCAGGGAGCAGGGCCTATGTGGCAAGAGGAAATGAGGTGCCCAGGAGGGACCAGTGAGGGCAAGCAGCAGTGGCCTGCGCGGTGCAAACTGCAGCTGTGGAGACACGCCACACCTGAGCACCCACCCAGGGAGGCCCCTGTCCCCAGGGAGCCAGTTGTTTGTGACTGACTGGGTTTTGTTCCTCTAATACACACACACCCCACTTACTGTCTCAGTATCTAAGGATGAGTCAGGAAGGACCGTGGGGGCTGTGGTATCAGTGATAAAGCTGTTCTGTACTAACCTGACTACACTGGATATAACCTCTGCCCTGTGACTTGTGACAGTAATGCATCAGCTAACGTCATGACTACAACCACCGGCCTAAGTGCAGCCCGCCCTACTAGTGCCAGCCAGTTGCCGTATTAGAGCACTTTAAAGGCTTTACCCATTCCCTAATGCTTCTGCCTATACTTCTGTCATTCTGGCAAGATGTGATATGAGAGGATTACGAAGAGCAAGGTCTGAGACGGAATGGGGCTAATGAAAGCCAGACAGAGAAGCTTACAAAGCAGACAACAGCAAGCGGTGTCAGAGGGAGCCGGGTGGCCTCTGGGTGGGCCCTTGGGAGCTCCTTGCCACGTGGATGACCTTAGGATGTTACTTAGCCCCGATCCCTTCTCAGCGTGGGAGTGACCTCACGGGTGCCGTGCACGTGGGCTGTCACACTGAGGACAGCACATGCGCGCAGCTGTGTTGGGTTTCTTCCCACGTGGGAGGGTCTCTGGCAGGGGTGGAGTGAGTGGGGCGTGGGTGTGAGCCCCCCTAGGATTTCTGCTGGACTTTGAAGAGCAGCCACATAAGACCGAGCCAGGTAGGTGGCATGAGCAGAAGTCACCTCAGGACTTCTGTCCTTCCAAGGTGCCTGTTTGGGGATGGGAATGGACCCACACTTTGAAAACAAAGGCACTCAGTGTTCTGCTGGTTAGCTAGGTAACAGCTTTGGGGTCAGGCTCCAGCTGGTGGTTCCCTAGTGTATCAAGGAAGGTGCGAGGGTCAAGTCCCGCCCCTCCTCCTCTGACTGTGGCCTAACAGCTCAAGGTCATCTCCCCAAGCCTCAGTCTTCAGGGCAGGCAGTGTGGAGAGCGGGACCCAAGCCTCCTTGCTCCGGTAGCTTTCCCCCATCCCAGGGGCTGCCAGAGGGAGCCCAGGCACAGAGGCACCCCCATCGCCTTGTCCTCACACAAGCACTTGGCATCCATGCAAAGCGCCCACCCCCAGACTGTGTGTCTCCTTGGAGCAGGCTCGTTTATCTTTTGCTCAGTTTGCGAAAATATTTTCTTATCGAATAATAGGGATGATGACAGTGGGGGCTTTATCCTGACTGACTTGTGATTCCCTTAAATACCACTTCAAGAAGATTTGCAATGTTAAGCTCTTTTCTCTCTCCCTCTCTCCCTTCTTGTGCATTAAATTTCCATCTGTTTACCCAAAATGACAGTCAGTGCAGGCAGGACAGCTCCTGGGTGCATGAAGCACTCGCTCGCCTGATTCCCCAGGCTGTAAGGTGACTTGTTGAAATGGGCCGGGAACACAGGGAGCTGTCCATTCCCCCGGCCCCTGCCTGACACAGAACAAGCACTCCCTGAAAGTGGCTGCCATTAGTCGATGGAATTG